CCTTTTGCCAGCCCCAAACATCAGTTCTTTTGGTTACAACTGGGAAGAGAAAGACTGGAAGAGATGTCCTACTCCATAAAAATGTCCACATGAGCTATGCCCTGCAGAATAATTTGTCACTTGACAATAACATATTCAAGATGCAGGTCCAGAGACTCACTGTGGCAGGCTAAAAGCCTAGATCTGAGTCCCATTCCTGCTCTGATATTTGTATTCTGCTCTCACTTTTTTTTTACTAAGAATGGTTAGTGAGTGCTAAATACTGCTGAAATTTGAGAAAACCATTTTTTCTTATTTTTCATAGACAGGAGGATAGATTCTCAAAAGTGGTATGGACAAACTGGAGCAAAATGATCCATAAATAGCGTCACCGAGGGTTGCAGCAGAATCCTAGAGATACCACATCTGAGGGTGCTTTGCATGTGGGTGGGTGGATGAATGTGTGTACCTCTCTGTGGTGGCAGCAAAGCCTTCGAGCTTCCTGTGGGCAGCAGTCTGATACAGTAATGCACTTAGGTCTATAGAACAGTGGTATTTCTTTAGTGTTGGCCTGTGATGTTTCTGGGGACAGTGTGAAATGTATTGATCTAGAAGCCCATTTCATGATATTGTTCTGAATGCCATTTAAAGAAGGATCCTTAAGTCCTAAGATACAATCAACAAGATATGTCTACTGATGACAATAAGTGTCTTATATTCACCACAATTTGATTTCTTCTCATTAGCAATCTCATTAATATTTCAGTTTTGTGAGTGTGAAATTTGTGTTGCACAGCCACTGGTGTGATGCTCTGCGTTATTTTGCCAAACACCTTCAGTTTTTATAGTCAAATATTCTCTTAGTATGTAGCCTACACTGTTTCTGAAGCTGATCTTCAGAACATGCCAGTTGTGGGTGGGGAGACAAAAATCCACAACTCCTGCTCCAGGTGCTCATGAGACAAACAGTCTCGTTTATTATTCAGAACTCACTTAAATACCCAGTTTAAATCTCCTGGACTGTACAGCCATTGGCTGAGATGTCTCTCCCTGCCCAGCTTCCTGGCCCGTGGCGTGCTTACTTCTCAGCTTGGATGGGGCTGGATGACTGTCTTTAGCTTATCCAGAGGCATGTTCAGGCATGAACTAAGCTAGCTGAATTGGATTTGTGTTATGGTCAGATTAACTTCGTCCAGTCCAGGCCAGCTGTACTGTGACAATACCATGACAGGTCTTACATCAGCTATTTGCTGTAGGTTGCTGCATTTAGCTTCAAGAGCCCAGCCCAAGTTCCTTTTGAGTCAGCAGGGTTTTTGTGGGGTTTTTTTTCAGTACTTGGATCAGATCCATAGTCTGTAGTTCCTCCTTCTTCCTCTCACCTCCTGAAATATTCTGTAAGAAAGTTATAATCTGAAGTGTGTACTGGGCCAGATTTTTAGTTCTGATCAAACAGAATAGATTTTTTTCAAGTCAGTAAAATGCTGTTTATTTAGATTAACTTCTGTCTTTACATACAGCCTAATAGCTCTTTAATAACGAATCAAACTCACCAAACTTATGGTATGTGAAAACTGTAACTGCCTAGACTATATTTTACTCTGACACCAAAGTCCTGTGTAATGACAGCTTAGCATCACCTAACTTTTTTCAACTTTTTTCTTTGTTATCTCCAGATATAGCCTTGATGTCTACCAGAACAATCTATCAATCTATCTTCCTGTGTAATGCTATTTTCTAGTCCTCTGGTGTGCTATATGTTTGGTTCACTGTAGACTCAGCTTAAAGACAGGTTCAAGAGAGAAGAGCTTTAGTGACAGCCCTGTTTCAGACACAACTGAAATAATGGAATTTATGGCAATCATAATCATATGCTGGATTTTATTTTCAGAAAGGATTTTCTTAGTTATAGGTGGCTGGATAGCAGTATGAAAATACACGTATGCCATGAATGTATTTAAATTGATACTAATAAACTTTATTATTTTAAGTTTATAAACTTTATTTTATTATATTTTATTATATTTTTATTATTATATGTTATATTATATATATTATATATTACATATATATAATATAATACTATATATTTTATTATTTTATTTTATTATTTTAAGTTTATAAACTTTATTTTATTATAGTAGAATTTATTTTATTATAGTAGAATCCAACTTTTTTCTCCTCAGACATCTCATGCAGTTGAAAAGGTGGATTGGATTGATTATGAAATCTCAAAAGTTTCATCTTCAGCTGAAGTATTTTGGGGAGAAAACTGCTTTTTCAGTTAGAAAGTAGAGCAAGTTGTTGGGGTTTTTTTCCATGACAAGAAATCCTTCATACTTCTGTGAAGCTGGAGCAATTCTGAAACTAGCAGAATTATTTTGGATTCCTGCTGATGTTACTAACATCAAAATATGACTGTAGGAGTAAAATGGTGCATTTGTGGCACAGCAATGGCACAGCACTGCATAAACAGTTACATTTAGGTTGCAGGAAAGCTCTGTCTGTAGAAAGCAAGCACTCAATGAATTTTGTAATAGTATAATAACACAAAAGGTAAAGATCAAAAAGGGGAAAGACAAAAGATGTGCATTTAACCTAAGCATCAGGAAACAGTATTGTTGCTCTATTGGGAACAGTGAAAGAACGACACAGACTCTCTCATGGAGTCAGAACTGGAGAAGTTTCTCCCGGTTTATTACCTCAGGTCTTTTTTATAGACCGATACGTGAAAAGTACAGAAAAGAAAACTCTTATTGGTTAGTAAACTAACACATCACCATCATTGGTCAGTGGGGTTCACCACCCCTTGACTTCCTCTTGCAAAAAAACAAGAAACAGATAAACAGCACCCGCAAGGCTGCTTTCTATCTCTGAGGATTGTTTTAATTCCTCCTTATGAATTCCCAGGCCACTTTACCAGGCAAGACTGAGAAAGTTATGTGGCCTGTAATTTCCACAGGCACCATGCTCCCTGCTTCACAGTTAGCATCCATACAGTATAGTGTGTTTGCACACTAGTCAGTAAGGGAAATTGAACCACATATACTTTTTGCTAGCTTTCCATCTTAATCAGAAGTCTAGGTACTAACTGCTCTTGGAATATGAATCCCTCTCTGATAATATAGGGAAGCTGAAATTCAGGCACAGTTAACCTCTCCTCATGCCATGTTGTATTGCACTAGTTGGGCTTAAGTTGTTCTAATGTTGAAAGTTTTTGGGGCAGTCCTCAAATGCTTTTTAAGGTGTTCAAAGAGAAGAAAATTGCTAAATAAAATTCTCTAGACTGTCTTAAGGCTCTGTCACCATTTGAACTTAAATTTTCAAACTTGATGTAAAAACCATTTGCTTCTTGCATGATATATTGTTCAGACTGGAGGCATGATTCAAGTCACATACCCTTGTCAGCTCAAATCAGAGTCTTGAAACTAAAATATAAACCTTGAAAGACAAAGTCTGATTCTGTTTTCACTCACATAAATCTAGAGAAAAACCTCATTCATGTACAGCTATTGTAGAAGCTAACACTCATCCAACCCAGTAACTCAGAGCAACAGGGCAGACTCAATAGCTGGGAGATACTAATGAAACTGAGAGTGCTTGAGCATCTCCTTGCGATGGATCAGAAGTAACTTTATTTTTCAGTATCCATAATTGATTTCCCATTACATTTCACATAAAAACCAAAGTGCAGAAGCAAGAATTTCCTTGTGTAAAAATGTTTTAAATGAAAACTGTTAAATGAGATTTTAATCTGCAGCTGCTTATTCTAATGAAGAGTTCCATTTCTTACTTACATAACCTGATTTTCAAACTTCAGTAAGTTGTACAGCTGGCCATGTTTTCTTCACTCCACGTGAATTTGTCTCCTTATGTCACAGAATTCAAACAATAGGCTGAGGTGGGGGTTTTTTTGAGGTTTTTTTTTTAAAGTTAATTTTTTGCCTTCTATTATGTATGATTTTGTTTGATTTGGGATGTTTCCTGTTTTGTTTGCTATACTGTGTTACAAAAGGTTTACGTAGCATGTAAGTCTCAACTGCAAGTACTGCCAGCTCTCAAGGGAGTTTTGAAAATGTCCATATAGGCATCACAGCCATACATCCAAATTCAAAAACCCAGACCATGTTAAATGTCTTCTAGATGCCTTTTACAGAACTAATTTTTAGCTGGTACTACAGCTAAATATTTAGCATTTCATGAGATATCCTGATCAAAGCATTTTTCAATGTGGTATTTATAATGTTGATTATAAAATAAACCAATAAAATATAGATTGTACTGCTTTATGATACCTCACTGGTATTTATTTCTGCATGGAGAAACAAAAGGGAGAAGTGGATACAATCACCAATTGAACTCAAAGGTAGACCAGGGAGAAGGTACACTGGCACTTGGAGAGAAAAAATTTATTTGAATTTCGGCAGAAAATTCAGATGTTTCCAGACAATTACAGATAAATTATTTCTGATGTACCTCATTGGATTCTTTTAATTACAACTTTAAACTATTCCATTAGAATGTATTATCAGCAAGACTTAACTTTTAAGATAAATGGAACTTCATTTTCTTAATTGTTTTTTTGGTAATTTTTCAGAGATAGAGGAAATTGTTTTGGTTGCTTGCCCTTCACTATTCCTATAAAGAAAATCCAATTTCAAGACAATATAAAATGGTGTCTTTACTAACATATTTTCAAAAAAATAATCTAAATGTAGTCATGTTCCCTGGCATATTCCTACTAAACACCTGAAGAAGAGAAAGACTTCATGCTATAGGACTAGAAAAACATATAGCATTTATTTACATAAAATATGAAAATCTTTAGTTTAAAATACCAGCACATTTTCTTAAAGATTTTTTTTTTAATTTACTTTTAAAATGCAAATAAAACCACTCTACTTTATTTTCCTTTCCTTTTATTGTGGACTACCATCATATGTTTTTAACTTTGAATTAAAGTAAGCAGTTTAATGGTTGCCTCTCAAGAGTGTTTGTGTTTTTTCCCGCCTATGTAATTTCAGATGCTGCACAACAAACACGTGATGGTTCGTGTTGGAGGAGGCTGGGAGACTTTTGCAGGTTACTTACTGAAGCATGACCCATGCCGAATGCTTCAAATCTCCCGAGCAGATGGGAAAACTTCTCCAATCCAGAGCAAGTCTCCAAACCTCAGGGACATGAATCCAGACAATTATCTGGTTGTTTCTGCCCATTACAAAACCAAGAAGGAGGTTCAGTGAAATAAGCTTCTCATGTGGGTGGGACTTCATGTATGTAGGTCCAAATTATTCTCCCAAGTGTAGTGAATTTAGTTAATGCTTTAAAAGGACTTTGGAAAATTTAACACAGACTGGAAATGACACCCCATTTTGAAGATCTTTGAATTTAGAACTATTTATTTCTAGTACTGTATCTTTTATAGGAAATTACCCTTGATACGCTAATTACTACAATCAGATAATAAATAGACATATATTTTTAGCCAAATTATTACTCTTTAATATGTGAATGTATACTTAGAGCTACATAGAGCAGTGGATCCTGTTAATGGAAGAAAATAGACAATGAAATATATTTGTATGAAAATCTTATTACTCTGAATCTCTGACTGTTAGGCTAGTGGAAATATATATATGCAGGTGGAAAATGGGTATTTGGGGAAATTATTTGGTAATGTCCCTTGAAATTAAATAAAAATTTGCTATTTGTATGTTTTGCCATCTTACTATTTAAAGCTGAAGACAATACTGAGTGTTCAATCTATTTGTAGATCCTTTCTGTTTTTCACAAAGTTGCCCAATGTAAAAGCATGGGAAAGTGGAGAGATTGCCCCTTCCTCTGTCAGTCAGTGGAGCTGGTTGGTCATACCAATGAAGTGATTTTCTGCAGCCCGTAAGGGAACCAGTAACAGGTGCACAGCCTTCAGACCCAAGGAGGAGCTTCAGAAAATGCAAATATGGAGTCACAAAATATGGCACTGCTCTTGGATATGACCTTTTCCTTCCCTTTCTTTTTAATGTTGTTGGTCCTTTTAAACGTGAAATATTCATTACCCTATAAATAGAGTGATTCACATTCTCATAAATCATTCACACAACTGTAATATAGCTAAAGGTTTTTGTGGGCTCAGTTCATTGTTTTGGCTACTTTTCTATGTTTGTATTTGGTAATTTATGTGCCTTGTAACATCCTATAAAGATCATTTTATAGGATTGTTTTGATGACTGTATGAATTTAAAAAATAAATTTTTTTAGGTACTCATACATTTTGGAACTCTTATTATTTGTAATCTCTCATCTCTACTTTGCTGCTACTCACTGGATGCTGACAATACACAACACTGATTGCTGCCCTAATAATGAGCTGCACAAAGGGGCAAACAGATAACACAGAAATACCCAAATTTTATTGAAAAATAATTTTTCTTTGCAGGGAAAAAAATTCAAAAGCATCCTTGAAATAATTTAATTTAGTACTGACTAGTATTTTTCTCCATTTTCTGATGTTAAATTTTAAAAAAATGGTCCTATAGTCTGCTCCTGTGGTCCTTAACAGCAAAATGTCTGTGAGATAGAAAGCATCAAAGCCACCTTTCATGTTCTGTGCCTTATTAAAATCAGCATGTTGTATCTTACTTCTGTGGAAAAGGCCTACCTCACCATTTAAAAATAACTACTGAATACAGTTCACAATTGCTCGGTGCAGCAGACAAAGTAGCAGGACATAATTCCAAAGTTGCAGCCTTTTGTTCTTATTTTGAAACACTTTCTACAAAGATTAAACACATATTCAAGCAATAAATCTTTTGAAAAGCCATAGGAAGTCTCAGCTGTCATAGAAGTTGTCATATGTTCTCTATAAGGGAGCAGAAAACAGACCACAAGGAACATAATTTTAGAAAAAATGTAGCATAGCTGAAAAAGAATCATTATTTTAATATAAGCACTGAGTGAGAGATCTATTTTCAAATTAAAAAAAAATATCACTCTTGAAAATGTGAGATGTTTATTTAGAAATAATGGCTATTTTTTTAAACACAATTAGCTGGATTTCATAGAATCATTAACATTGAAAAGACTTCCAAGACCTTCAGGTTCAACCTTTATTTCCATCATCCAAGACTATGGTTGTGTTGCTATTATTATGTTGGATTTTTAAATATTTGAAGGTGTTTACATATTAAAAAATCAGAGCAGATAATTAAAAAAAGGTATTCATAGGTTTATTTTAATAGTAAATTTCAACACTCCCAGTAAATCCTAATCAAGATTTTAAACTAAACATGAACCCCTTTATGTGTTCAATCGTACCTGTCGCTGATGTTGGAGACAGGAATGCAACAAGAACACACCAGGTTCATGCAGCAACAGCCAAATTTTATTGTTGGGCACCCTCTTTTATAGGGCCTTCAAATTTCCCACACTTTCATACATGATTGGTTAGGGGTCTTAACTCTGCCCAGAGCACTGGCCAATTATATGAGTGCCTTCATGGTTCAAAGGGATTGGCTGGGGTCCTGTTTGAATCTGACCTATCATTACATACCCAGAGACTTGTTTACTTCTGTTCCCTACGGAGCCAGGCTGGTTGAGTTGGTGTCTGTCACGGCTAATTTTATCTGTGCAGCTGTAGACCAGCTATAGCTCTCACATGTACCTATCAAAATAGTCTCTTTTTGTTTTGGGGTACTCAAATGTCTTTAAAAAAGTCTTCCTCGCTTAAAACTTCAACTTTGCCAGTTCCAGAATGGGAGACTGTAAGATTTTATTTTAAAGTATTGCCAGTACCGCCTGATGTAAAAAACATTTGTTAGTTTATTAGAACATTATGGCTTAATTTATAAAGCTAAAGCCGAGCAGTAGAATCTTGCTCAAATGCATACAGCCCTTGTTGCAGTGGTAGAGGCAGAACAGATTTAGGTCATTTTCCATCATGTAGTGATTTTAGCTAACTATATTGCTGTGTAAATTGGCTGAATGTGAATCTTGAGGAGGCTGAAGTCTTGAAAAGTTTAAGTGATAGGAGCTGCAACAAAGCCTTTTCTCAAAGTCCTCGCAGACCAAATCCCATGGGAGCTGCCTGTGAATAAACTGTGCTTAATCTCAAAATGGATAAATTATGTAAAATTTATGTACAAAACCCATTATTATTGTATAATGTCAAATACACCTCACCATGCTGAAAGCTATTCAGACTTTGGAAATGTAACTGTGATATCTGTTATTGCTGATTATAGGAAGTGCATTCTGTCACCTTGCCATTCATACATTACCTGGAGATTTTTTTCCAAGCAGGATTATTTACATCACTGATATAAACATCACATGATGTATCCTGTATGACAGGATAGGGCTTTTTCGCATTTTTATTATAGGGATAACTGCTCCTTCCTTTGCAGTACCACCTTTTTTTTTTCACCAGCAATTTAGAGAAGGAACAAAAAATTTACGGCAGCTAGTTAAAGGATTGTTGGTGGAGATGCGTGAAATGAGACTATATATATAGCAAGTTTCTCATAACTGAAGACTCAATCCTGAATTCATTACACATGTTCACTTTCGATCTGGAAGATGAGATGTTTGCCACACCACAGAGTTAGAGAAGGATGTCCCAGAGATGCTGACAAGGGTTTGGTTCTTTTTGGGCTTATGTGTTGTACTGCCTCATTGGCAGCAGCCTCACAGTATCTGACAAGGGAAGGAGGTACAGTGCTGCTTCTTTGCTCTGTCTCCTACTTTCTTAGCCTGTGGCATGTTGACTAAGGTAAAGTGGAACAGACAAGTCGGATCACACTAATGTTGATAGGGCTGGACAGGCTTTCCCAGACTCTGGAAAAACTTCTGGCACTGCTTATACCTGATGAGCTCTGTCTCAAGTATTTAGTCTTGTCACTGTGCCAAATCCACACGCTGAAGTAATCTATGTTCCTCAGGGTCCACTGTGATGCTGCCCATCCTTGTGGAGACAAGATCTCTGTCTTCCCAAATTTCAGGACATCTGCTACACTCTCTCTCTAGCATAATATGTGTATTTTAACCGTATGGACTGGCAAATGGTTTCCAAAGATGATGCTATCACAGTCACAGAGAGTCAGCTTTTCAGTCCCATTTACTAGCAATGGACTTTGGCCTGCCAGTGTTTGAAGTGCAAAAAGATGAAGAAAAAAAAAGTTGTACTGATGTAAACAAAATATCAACTGTCTAGATAATCTATGTGAAAAGGTGCATTTTAACTCTGAGGTGAAGTAAACATCTAGGATTGGAGAAAAAAAGGACAAAACTGTTGTGGTTCACATTAACTTAGTGCTGCACTAAGCAATAAGAAAGACAGGGAAGACATCCATAAGGAGAGAGCAGCTCTAATCTATGTGGCTCTCAGCCTTACTGTTTAATGATACACGTCATGTAGTTTATCAGTTGCACACTACTGCTTGCAGTAGTTTCTGCTTTCACTCTCAGCTGAAACAAAACTTAAACCAACAGTAAGTGTTTTTATTTACCCAAACAATTCCTAATCAGTTGAGCCTGGATGTGTACGGTGTAGGAACATCTTCTAGAACAGCTTTGTAGGTGATTCCTAATCTAGAACTACACACTCCCATATCCTCTGATGTGGTTCCTTAGCCATAGAATAAATCCAGGATTCAAAACTTGGTCTCTTAAGAATCACAGGCAGCTCTGGCTTGGAAGATGGAGAGAGAGAAGAGCGTGATTGGTTTCTCTAGGTTCTTTCAATGGCTTTAAATTAAAGTGTTCATGGCACCAATGCAAGCAGAGGCTTGGATGACAAGAGCCATGGTTATTTGCTGCACTTGCAGTTTTGGGGGAGCAGTATAACAGAAAATGAAGAGAAAAATGTTTGAAGTTTTAAATACCCCAAGTGACCAACTAAGTGTAAGTGCTGCTTAAGTGTCTTATAGGACACCTACTGGGATGTTAGATTGAAATTCTCATTTTGAATTAATGTCTGAGATACTTTTTGTAACTCAATGCATTTTCAGTAATTTAAAAAAAATTATTATGACTAGTTAATACACTGAAAAAAGCAACTGCAAACACTCAAAGGAAACTGAAGGCAATGTTCAGCCAAGGACACAGCTTTTTTCAGGCCAAACACCATTATATTAATATTGAAAGTTCTCCCTTCTCAACTCAATTTTGAAGGCTAAGCCAGGAAACTGTGTCAAGACTGCACTCCCAGGACAACACTGGGCAGTACTGAGATATGAAAAACAAAATACATAGTTCAAGGGGTGAAAAAAAAAGCCTCTAGGCCTGACTCGGTCAGAAATTAGGCAATTGCAGTACTGAGCCCATGCATAATGTGCATAATGCTCTCTGGGGAAAAGAAAATGGTTTTGCACTGTAAGCAGTCCACCTAAATAACACATAAACTTTTGGAAACAAACTGGCAAAGAGATGGCAAACTGTTTTCCAGTTTATTTTCAATGCTGTTGAGAAGGGCAGCATTGCCCTCTTGTGGTAATAAATGAAAACAACTAATAACAGGATTTTTAATTTCGTGTTTAACTTTCAGTGTTCATTACAAATACTTACAGACTCAAAAGAAATCCACATGAGAATATGAGAACAATTATTACACACATAATAAAACAGCATTCTTGATCTAAGTACACAGGATTTATAAAGGTTTCTATTTTTTCTTTTAACTAGTCACAAAATTATTCCATTTGTAAAGACCCACCATGACTCTACATTTCTTTTTTTGAAAAAGGCACTAAATTTCTAAGCAGTCCAAGAGTAATCAGGAAACAGAAAAGAAATGCTGTCATCTGCAGATTCAAATACATATATATATATAATATATATATGAAAAACTTTCTACATGAGGACTTGGACACTAAGTTTAATTGTAGAGCTTGAAATAACCATCAAAACCAACACATGGGCACCTGAGCTTCCTCAGGCTAGTCATACACAGACAGACAGACATCAACTGACCAGACAGTATATACATATTGACTGACTATATGTAAGGAGGCCACCTCCAGCTGACAGGAAGTCTTGACAGGGAAGCAATAAAATATGCATGGAAAACAAACAAACAAAATTGGCAAAACCACAGTGCTCAGATTAGTTTTTAAGTTTCTTTATGAATGTTTCCACATCCATTGTCCCACAATGGCAATATACTGCTAAGTTTCCAGATGTAAATAGCAAAAGCCACATGATGAATAAGTGCCACTTAGCTGCAGAAACTGACAAGTTATTGGCAGTAAACATCAATCATCTTTCTTCAGAAGTTATGTGTTATCCAACCTGCCACTAAAGAAACAAACAAAACATACCACTGGTTTGTATGACGACAAGGAAAAGAAAGGAAAAATCCCAAACCAAACAAACATCATATTGTTGAACTACAATAAATTCTCCATTTACCTTTAAATTCTCAATTCACCTTTTATCCCAGCAAGTGATGGACATGCAGTGTGTCAGTGGCAACTTATAGAAACTCCTGCCTCCTGAGTCATATACAGTAATGAGGGCAAAAGATGAAGGTTTACAAAGCCTGAGTTTCAATGATCAGATACATCTATTGTTTTGGAGAGACTGTAATTCTTCATTAACTCTCTGCCTGGCCTTCTGAGGTAAAGTTCACATTAGAATAGCAATAGTAGTAAACTTCATCCATATTTATGCCAACACTGGCACTTCTTTTGTAATGAGACACACATACATAAATCCAAAACCATTGCTCTTCTTAGTTCAAATGTTTTCTATAAGCTCTGAAGTAAAACAGACAATCTTAACTGGCAGTGAAAAGGGACACTGTGTACACAGTAACACAGTGATGGGGTCCCCAGTGTTTAGAGACCTGTAAAACTGATGCATCATAGATGTAGAAACTGGGAAGAGGGGGGGAAAAAACTCTCTGCCATCCCTGCTGTCTTTCTGTCCTAGTGATGAAGTCT